TTTGAAAACGACATATTTTGGTCAATATTAGCCAAAGTTCTTAGTGTATTTGCAACACTAGTATGTTTGAGGGAATTACTTTATTGGTAAAGAACGCTTACCAACTACCTCATTCCATAATAAAATATTGAGCTTTGCAACTTACTGAATGCGAATTCAGTTATACTTTACTTGACCACCCTTCAATTAGACACCTAAAGGATTACATTTATCACAGTAGATTCTTATATACTAGAGTCATTTGAAAACAGTTTATCATTTCGTTTTTACAGTAAATTAAATGAACATAGATCTTACTAAATAATAATCCCACATCTTTACTTGAGACATTGCTGCCTCCTTTTACATTCGTAATAACAAACTGATCCGAATACACTGGTATTGTGTTGGTCATGTATAAAGCAAATCGTCTCAGAAAGTTAATTTATTTCTCATGGGAATAAATTTTTGTCATGAGATTAAGATCATCTTTCACCTAAGAAACTTCACACTTAAGCAAAGCTTACATCTATGTCACTAGATCTTATCATATCCAGTCGAATAACAAAATAGCAGCCAGGATATTATAAGATTAAAATTCAATACTATGCTGAATATGGTTAACGTAGTTAAAAAAAAGCATTAGTTACTTTTGTATGCAGAAAAATGAGTGCATATATATATATATATCATAAAGAACTTAGGCGTCAGCTCTTTCCATCTTTCGATCACTATTATCATCATTATTTTTCTATGCTTCTTTTTTCTAATTAAAAAGTTTTTTTTGACAAAAGAGCTAATGAAAAGCTATTGTCTGAAGGTTTTTTGCTGACACTCTTCATTATTTCCTTTATTATGTGAAATGTTAATGGTTGCATTGTTCTCGTTTGCCAAAGTGACATTCACCACGGTTTGCGGTGCAGCAGAGTTGTAACCAGTAGCTTTTGTAAAGTTAGTCTTTCGGTGACAGGTATAGTTCGTTATCGTTCTTTATAACTTCCACTGAGTGACATCAGTCTGCTGTCTGAAAAATATCAGAAAACCGAATAGGAAAGACAGATGTATTATCGGTAAATTAAAAGATATAAACTGAATAAGAATTTCCGCTTTCAACGAATCATTTCAAAAATTTTGTGTGCTTCCGAATAGCAGATACATGTATGACGCTTTTTATCACTACTGATGAAAATACTAATCTTATGCGTATCTCTTTTAAGCTTCAATTGAATTTGTGATGGAAAGTGAATACAACTCAGAGTTTCACATTTTAAGTGTGAACAAATGATAGTTTTCTGTGAAGATAAATTTTCAGAAGACAGATCTGATATGGGTATATCGTAAAAATATTTTGTTGATTGATGGAAAAGAACTGAGAATGAACAACTGTTTTATGATAAATTGTTACTATTTCTTGTATATCTCTGGATGCCGCATAACACTTAAACCTTGGTTTGTCTGTCATCGATCAATAAAGCATTTCGGTGCAGCAGTGTTTAGAAAATACCAGCACAAATATCACACTTGCACAAAAGGCATAACTATGGAATTCCTCCACATATTCTGTTGTGTCTCAGGTTTTCATACAGTTCTCTGTTGTCAGTTTTAAAATGAATTTACTCCAGCACATTTAAACTAGTATAAGCTTTCAACGATCAACAATACTATCTTCAGAGGATAAAATGCATAGACAGAAAGAGTAAAAGTTCTGTATTATGGATATAAAACATTGTTCAGTTAGATGTTTTCAGGAGTCAGTCTATAGGATGCTTCAGATCTAGGTTTCTTGTCTGTTGGAAGGCATTATCACTACTGTTAAGACTGGCACCTTAAATGTATCTTGACAAATATTTAGAAACAATTACAAAATAATTTTGTCGACAAGCAACTATATTTTCTAAATCAATCTACTAATTATTCAGTCTACATTTATTTATGAATTGTGCCATCCTGATTTTGTCAGTTTCACTGTTATCCTTATATGTAATTCACCGAAATCCTCTCTTATTCCATTTCTCACAACTGTTGAAGAATCTACTTTTAGTCAATAAACAGTCTTTACAAAGCTGCCTTGTTGTACGACTTATGACTCAGATGTTGACAGGCTTGTTCATACAAACAGAGTTTTGTGATTATGAGCAATAATTTGTGCTCAAAGTGGTGTTCTTTTAATAGTACTGTACCTCTGCGTGTTTTAGCACATAATATGGAAGTTCTCCTAAGGGCTAGAAAAACCAACGACTACTGGTTTGATAAGAATATTTTCTTTATTACCTATCTAAAAGCTAGATCTGCTTTGAAGACTCCATACCGTAAATACCCAGTTTTCAAGCGCTGAAGTAATACCAAGTGTATAAGTGAAGACCTCATCATTTAGTAGCACCTATGCTAAAACTGGGCATTTGTATTACAGCTGATTTAAATAATACGATACAGACAACTGTTAATAAATAAGTATTCACTCAGTTTTTATAGTTATTTTCAAGCAATGTGAGTCAGTTTGCAATGGAATTGCTTTCACCTATAACCTTCAATACTTGTTCTGATTTAATCAACCTCTGGATTAGGGAAGCCTAGCGAATGATACATCAAATACTAAATCTAATCTGGAATTTTGTTTGTTCGTTTTTTTATTTTCTTCTACAAAAAGCTATGCTGACACTAGAACTATAGTGAATTCATTCCGTCAACTTTATCAGAATTAAATAAATAACCATAGCAATTTTGATTAATTTTCCTCTCATCTGCTTCTGCCTCATTTACCTTGTGTATTATATATATATATATATATGTATATATATATATATAGTTTACCAAAAAAATTCGTCAGTTGCGTGATTACTGAGGGAAAAAATTTTCCAGTTTTGATTTCCATTCTCTCCCGCTTTTTGTTAAGAAAAACCATTCTCGTTTTATTTTAATTTCAAAAGAATGGCAGATGATTGACTGTATATATATATTTTTTTAAAGAATACCAACACTGTTTGAGACAGAGAGAAATAACGAAACATTCTTTTTATTTGCTTGTTTGTGATTGTTAGTGAACACTGTAAAAGAATATTAGTACATAAAAGTAAGCAGTCGTACTTACTAATATGCTTCATCCATCGATAGCAACTGTATCGTTATGAAACTTGATGAGTTATCGATTGATTGGTTTAATGACAAAGAGGTTTGTAGCATAAATCATTGTTGAATCATCAGAGAAAAATATGCAACTTTACCTCACAGCAAATACTAACATATCCGATATCGTCAGTTGGTCAGATATTGGTGTGAGAAATCCTGAAACTTTGAATGACTTGATACTATCCAAGTAATTGAAACTTACATCAGTGATGCCATCATGAGAATCATTAAGGCTATAACTAATCTATTTACATGGGGCAGTAAATGCACGCTCATGGTTTCTTGCTGATTTTTTTTTAGTTTGTTCCGTAGTCATGGTTGTAAGCTGTAATCTATTCTCCTGATGTAGGAACTGAGCACATTAATTTAATAAATAAACTTATTCGTTTTACGGGAAGATGTACATCCCGGTTGTGTAACTATAGTACAATATTTAGTGAGCTTTTGGTTGTCAAATGTTGTTCGAGGTAACTAGTTTCTTCTGTTTAAGTGCTTTCGTATTTTTAGTAGCAACTAAAGGTTGTTTTTCATACGTAATCAAAGTACTTAGGTAAATCTATACGTTCTAACTCGAGAACAAAAGGAGGTATGTAAATATAAGAAAACGTATCATCATCTCCAAAGTAATCTTCAGGAGGTTTAACTGATTTTGTTAGATATACTGTCGTCATGTATCTGCATTCAAGCGATAAGAAAACATCAACTAAAAGGACAATCTGCATGAATTCACCGTTAAACTTCAGACGAAAATAAATGGTGTAATGTTTGGAACCAACAAAAGTCTGAGAATCTCTGGATTTTGAAAACAGTATTTATGAATTTTCACATCTGAAAAGCATAATTTTAATGATTTTGGTTGACTTTGTTGATATCATGCGGTTAAGATTGCTACGTTTTAGTTTTTTGCTGAGACTGGGATTAAGTCTTCCCCATCAAAATATTCTACTTCATCGTTATTCATTTTCAAGTTTGATTGCAAAATGATTTCAGTTGAAGAACTGATGATAACCGGAGAGTCCTGGAAAACTGTTCCGTCCTTGTTTGAGAGTTTCAGCAGTAAGCACTCATCACCACATCAGGGGTCAAAACCGGGACCTTCAGTTTACAGGGTGAGTCACTGAGACGGAGTCCAGTGGCCAATCATCTCCCACCTCTGTAAGTGCGTGACCTTCAGCAAGGAGCACCCACCACTGTCTGTCCTCAAACTTAACCTGGTTTTACCCGTTGATCACGAATTCTCCCTAGAATTGGCAAACGTTAGCGCTGTTGGGCTAATGGATTAAACCTCAGTGACCCAATCGTATACAAGCTCACCATGTAACTTGAAGGCCCTGTGTCCGATCCCTGGCCATGGGTGTATGCTGTTGAAGAGCCCCAATCCTAAACTGAGAAGGAACAGCTGTCCAGTACTACCCGGTTTTCAGTGGTTCTCTAACTGAAATCAGTTCATGATCAAACTTGCAAGCAATCAAATCCCTGCACTCATGGTTTCCTACATGATAAACTAAAAATCCATAATTCAGTCACGTGTTTCTGTAATTTGAGAATGGTTTTGTACTATGGATTGGCGTATGTTGGAGAATCTTTGGAAAACAAACGATAACGTTTTTGACACTAAAATCCAAAACTGTTTGGTTAAACTGTGTAAACAGTGTAGAATAGACACTAGTGACAAGTTCCAAAGTAGAGTAAAGCAACTGTCCATAAATATTTATTCAACACAAGATACCCTTGTTTACCATTGAAGGTGTTTACTATCTTACTAACTCATAATTAGGAATTATTTACTTAACAGTAGATGTAACTTCTAGTTTTTTGTTTTGTTTTGAGTCAACTAATTATGACTACACACTATCAATATTTAAGTTATCCTATGTCTATTTTTCTTCTTTCAGTTAATGTTGCTCTAATTATTACTGGAACAAGCGGTTACACGTGTCATTCTGGAAACGGTGAAGTACTCATTAGAAGTTCATCTCTAGACGATTCAATGAAACATTCACATAGTGAAACAATATTCAATAGTATTGAAAATAACAATAATAGCAGTGAAAAAAGGAAACATTTAAGAAAGCAAGGTGTATTCACATCACCACAATGGCCTAAATCGTATGAACGTGGCACACGCTGTATTTATCGTTTCATAGCAAATATTGGAGAAAAAGTTCATATAAAATTTGATCAATTCTTCCTATCAGGTGATATGCCAATGTGAGTTTATAAGTTATACATGTATTAGATTGATCTAAATTGTTTTTTTTTATACAAAGTGCTGTAAAACAAAAGTGTAAAATAGATCTATATTGCAAATGCTTCAGATTAGAACATAATTGTAATTTATTTTCATGGTTAACAGAAAAACGTAAGCAGCTTCCATTGATGATTAGCATTGTGGAAAAATCTACATAAAACCAAACAACGCTATATGCCTACCTGGCTTGTTTCATTTTGATTTATCTCAGCAACATGTACTCTCCAGACTATTTTCAGTAGACTTTAAAACCGATTATTCTTATGACAAGCAGAATATTTTCCAATCACTCAGTTATACTCTATTTTCTATTTGCAGAATGGTTTCAGAGTAGAAGGAAAACTTTATTTAAGTTATTTTGTATTTTTCTTTGTTGAACTTTTATCAAAGCAAAATATTCGCTTCCTGTTGACTTGTCAGCTCATAGGTTTTACGCTTCAGTTACGTCTGAAGTTTAATACGATATTGTTTGGTTAATGTTGGCCAGTAGTGGGATCCAAGAAGAGTGTCATTTTCATACACCTGCATCCGTATTGAGTGATGGAAATTCTTTTGTTGGGCTTGAGTCTCGGTGGGTTATAGTCCTGTAAATGAGGTTTACGCATGCTTATTATGGTGTAGTATTATCCGGATTCAATAAACTTTAAAATCAGTAGTACTTTTATTTTTTTATTTCCGTATTGACACTTCATCTGAAGGGTATGAAATCATCTTCAAAAAGGCATATAGACGAGATATAAGCCAGCTTCAAGGTTTAATTAATGCTGTGAAAGACTATTTGAGAGATTTTGCGGATTGCTTTTGATGCGAAATATCAGCTGAAGAAATATCTGCGTCAATATAACTTTTAAACATAGTGATAGAAGTGTCTAGATGCACACAGATTTGTTAGAGGGCTTTGTCAGCTGAAGCAGAATACTGCTTGAATATAAAGTAAATCAATAAGACTACAGACCCACATTCTCTGAGTTTATTAGTACCTTATCAAATAGACCTAGAGTTTGAAGTATACTAGGCCTATACATGTCCAGCATTCTGCAGTCGTATAATAGGCTTCTTGCCTCTTATCCACTGCAACACTGTTGATGAACTAAAGCGTAAAGTCTGATCATTTACCATGGTCACCAAGACAAAGACAACTTTTATTATTGGGGATATTTTTTAAATTGTAACACTTCATCCCTTATTACTTTCTGTAACCTAATTTGCAATTTTCCTGCAAGCATTGAAATGACTATTTGCAAGTTTTCTGAATTGAACTGTGCCATCTGGTTTATTGTGGGGATATTGACATTGATGGTAGCAGCGATAACTCTGGTATCAATTAAACCTGAGATAACTTCCAGCCAATAATTGTTCACTTATAACTCGTAGGGAAGTGGCTACTGAATTCCATTGAAGCAGTTTCATACACTAAAATGTATTTCAAATACATTTATCAATTTAGTTGCTGATTATTTTAATTTCCTGCAACTACGTGTGCGTGCTTGACCGCACACTGATATGTTTCTTTGCAAGCAGCACAGCTTACTGTTTGTCAGCACGACAAGTAAACAATTTGATGTACGAAATTGGCACTAATGACCGTTTATGTGAAAACAGTGTTCACTGCAATTTATCAAGTAAAAGTGAAGAAACAAACTCTACACACTTTATAAAATGTATTATTGATTGACATAATCAACTACGAAATCGTTCGCCGCATACCTACGAATAGTTTAACCACTAAGAAGAAAACAACAAGGGAAAGTGAAAGATGGAAGGAAAGACAGTTATTCAGTTAGATTACTTTTATTTATGATCATTTAGTGTGTAAAATTAGACGTAAATCTGATCTACAAGACACTTGATGGAGATTATTTTCTATTTATAAGCAAAACTTGGTAATACTGTTTGTCTGCAAAAGAACCAATGAATTCATTTCACTAAACTTAACTAAGCTGTGCTGTTTTAAGCGATTGCTTATAAAAACAAGTCACACAGAAAATACAAATTCCCCAAGTTTATAACCAGGAAATTCAAGAGCCTGGTGCTTCTGAATGTAAATGACACCGGCGATCTGAAATGTTTAGAAAAGGTTTACAATTTGAATATTTTTGGCATGAATCTTGAAAACGTAGTCGTACAGCTGTGTTTCACATGTGATAGGTTCTTGAATCTTGGTTCACTCAGTCTCTTATCACCCATAAATTGATTTATAGTTCATTATGTACTACTCCAGTTGGTGCAAGTGGCTTTCTAAATATAAAACTCTGAAAATGTATTGACACCTACACTCTCTACTAAAAACTAACCCACACTGAGGATAGTTTAGTTATCTGTCAAAAGTGATCAAATAGGAGTAGTTAATTAACTTCTTTTGATAGTGAAAGATATCTTTATTTTTACACAGATGCAATGTTAATGAGAGTTTGAATGCATATACGTCATTTCGCTTTATCTTATGCATTCCTAGTTATTATTTTCGAAATATAGCTCCCGAATTATGTTTCAGAGATCTAGTCACTAGTTAGATGGATAGTGTACCCTCATTGTTTTTGAACTAAACCAACTAGACCTCTTCTTTTAATCTACAGATTGTAAGCAGAAGAGAGAACTGCAATATAAATTTTTGGGAGAATTAATTTTCAAAAACAAGTTGCTTCACCTTTTCCTAGTATAAGCATTTTATTGAAAAGCATCTGATTTTAGCAGGAAACTTAGTGAAAGCTGATTATTTTTTAATAGTTCAAATGGAAGAGTAGTGTGACATTGATCTCACAAATTACACTATGGCAATGTCTTTTAAATAACCAAAAGTATATAATCCATCCAAGTCTGTCATATGACCACTTATGTATGGCAGAACGAATAACCCTAAACACTGTGACTTAAATGCAATTTACATAACCCTATGGATAATAACTCATTGTTCATGCGTAATGTAATTTACATCGTCTGGGTGTTTCTGTCATCAAGACTCTTCTCTGTTGAGCAGTTTATAAACCTGGTGTAATTACAAAGACTGATGGAGAGAATAACCTTCTAGCTCTTCTAGCGTTTTCCAAAGATGCTGTCACTATTGATTTTGGAATATTTCGTAGCCGTAGAGTAATTGATGAAACCTTTTGAATGTCGTCGTAAGTAGCTGGTTAGTTTCCTCTAAGATTTCGATAATAAAAACAAATTCATGTTTATATTTGTTCGAAGTCTTATTTAATCGATCAAAATAAACTTTTTTTTACTTTTCTCTCTTTATGTAACAGTTGTTCAGTTGACTTCTTAGATGTATATATCGATGTTGCTTCATCAACTCTAGATATGGACAGACAAAGTGCTATATTTACGCAAGCATCTTCATCAGCTTTGACTGGTGAACAACAAACAACAACACCGTTTTCAGCAGCCGTTTACTCTTCTGTATTAGACAAGTCAGATTTATTAGGACGTTACTGTGGAAATTTCCTGTCATCTAACTCAGTGACATTTACCAGCTTGCATAGAGAGCTTGTAATCGACTTTTATGCTGATTTAGAAAGACTTGGAAATTCATGGTATACGTCTGGAAAATTGCATAGTTACGGTTTCAATGGGACATTTGAATTTATTAACGATGGTAAGCACCAATAGTTATTCTGTGGCTGTTTTGGCTGCCTTTCTACTTTTTTATTGTTTATAGAGAAAACTTTTGTTACTATAGCTAGGATATACTTTATTCTTTTTAGAATAGAAGTGATATATACAGTATTCTGCCTAAAAATATTTAACTGTACAGTTATTATTTTCATTTAAAAATAAATATAAAAATTAAAAATATATACCAAATGCTAGCGAGTACTTTGTAAATGAATCGTTTCTCAAACAGCTAATCTTGTGCAAAAGTGAAATATCAATAGCCTTATACATATCAATATTATGTCAAAGAATGTTTTCAATACTGAAATTTTTTGAACAATTATCGTAGTTCAGTAGACATGGAGAAGTTCAGAAGCTTCTAACATTACAAAATACTCAAAAACGTGACTGCCGTTTATGCCGATTATATATACTGATTAAGTACATTCTTGGTATACGGGTATATTCACTTGATAGACAGTTTTATTCGGATTTCATAAAGGACGCAGAATTTCCTTCAAGTTCGCATACACACTTATTGTAGTGAGACGTTTTCTGCACATGATTAATGGCAACTAACTAGCCGGTATTAGAGAACGCTCATCACAAAATATTGTCTTGTTTCAGCCTAATGGTAGGAATTCCTTAAATGTATAGATACTAGTGATAATACTGAAACTTTCAAGGGAATGACTTCTGTATATGTTAATTTTTTTGTATGACGTTTATTCATTCCTTGGTGTTTGCTTATCAATAAGACAAATTATTTACATCAACTGTTTTCAAATTTGCTGTTTTGGTGAATCCTAAGAGTAGCCTGTGTGCCATTTGTGAGAAAAGAACCAAAAGTTCAACGGAGATTTGTCTTCGGCGATTTCATTTTAAAGAGCTGTACAATCGCATTTATACACTTAAATTTACATAGATACAATTGTTATTTAATTCCACATATTAACGAAGACGATTAAAGCTGAAAATTATTATGACCTTGATATTGTTATGAGCAATAAGTTGTGCTCGAAACGTTATCAGTATATATTAATGTATAACACTGTGAGACTTTATCAAAATAAATTTAATCCACAATGGAATTATGCTCTACTACAGTGCATAAGTTCTATTCTTATGCCCCTTTTGTTTTACCCGTTACACTCTATTGTACTCTATAAAAACACAGTATAATAGATTATACGCCTTAGATAATAAGATTCATACACTTCAGAAACCATATATCTCTTTGTTTCTTAAATAAATCACGCCTAAGCATCAGTTAGCAAACTTGAAATCATAAAAGCATAATTGAGTGCCATACTTCTTCCGTCATTCCACAAAACTAATCAACATCATAGACAAATATGATTGCTTTACTTATTCATTAAGTATATCTATGAATAAGAAATCGTAATAATAGGAATAATAAATATAATAATAAAAATAATAACATAGTTATTTCAGTCTGTTCATTTCCAAATACTTCAAAAATCATCAAAAAGTAAATAGAATTAGGTCAAATTAGGGTAAATGGATGAATGAATAAAAGAGTAAATGAACCGTGATAGGAATAAAAAAAAAGGTAAATAAATACTCTAGTCATTTCACTTGATGTTTCCCAAAAATAATCTCTTGAAAAATGTAATCATAATAAAGAACTAGGATAGAAAACAAACTAGCATTATCAACAAAGATTTTATTAACATCTATGAAGCGTGGTGCACCAGCGACTGAAGGAGAGAAAACGCAAAGTACCTTGTTTGCCTTTATTGAATATATTTGCTAATCTAAACAGCCAAGCTATTTTACAGAGGTCTAATGAATTTTGTAAAGACGACAGATGATATCCTTTATGAAGAAATCAGCTGGTAGAACAACGGACCAGTAACAATAAGGCCGGTATTTGCAATCCTGCAGAGACTGTTTCCAACTTTAATCATCAACCATTACATTAGTATCAGTCTGTCAGCACAAAGTTATCTTAGACAGTTTTCCTGTCATTCCATGCTATCTTTAATTCTGCTTAGTTTATTGCTTAGATTATCCAACGTTCAAAGTAGCTGTACTTCACCCACCATCCTTCACACTTGCAAAAACAGAATAGTTGTATTTAATAAAATTTCGTTTTTTTTTGTGAATGGTGTCGAATCACTTTGCCAATTCTGTATTCAATGGTTTAGTGGATTATTAGCAATTATCACCGTACTAGTAAATTTGTTTAAAGATTGATCACGAAATGATTTAAGTCAGAGAACCTTAAGAAACCAGAGAGTACTGGGAAATTGTTTTGTCCTTGTTTGGGACTCGTAGTAAGTACGCACCCGTCATCTTACCAGGGATTGAGCCCGAAGCTCTCAGGCTATGGAGAAAACCCGTTGACCAGTCAACTGCCGGGACGGAATCCAATGGTCCATAAATTTCGACTTCTGCCAATTTGCGATATTTAGAGCAACTGCGAATCAACGTCATCGGTAATTATCTATCCTCAAACCCAACTTGGTGGACCTCTCTGGTCACGAAGGTTTTATGATCAGTTCATATCAGTCAATACGTGTATTTAAAATTCACATTTTTATTTAAAAAAGAATTTCTTCTTACTCTACTCTACTTGGCTCTGACCTAATGTGTTTATTTGATTCCAGTAATACAGTTTTATTGGCAAATAATGTGAAATCTTCACTACCATTCTAAAACATTAAAATGCTTCACATATATTCAAAAGTCCGTGCAGAATAGAATATTGGCTGTTTACGGAAAGGGATAATGAAGTATCCTTCTTCAGTATTCATTGAAGTAACACAGTTCATCTCATATTTACAAGAACCATCTGTGTTTTGGTATATGTGTGTGATTGTTTCACTCTTTAAATGTAATAATAAGTGTAATCACAATTTTCGTCACATTCACCTTTTCAATTCACTAAGCTGATAAACTCATTAGGATTACCAAGAACTTTTAGGTAATCTCACAGAACAAATTAAAATACAAAATCATGCAATCATGGAAATTTGTATGTATAACAAGTGCTATTCACATAAACTCGCCTTTATTGCAGCAGTGTTTCGTGAATTAAAAAGTTATGAGCATCATAAATGTTGAAGAGTTTATACCAATAGTCATATATACATAAACATTTTATTGGGAATGCTTTTAAAAAAACGCTATTTGAAAGAATTAAAAAGAGACAACATCAAGCAAAAAGCCAAAGTGAAAAGTAAATTTTAGTGGATCAGAACAGTGACTACGAAAAAACTGTATTTTGATCATTCAAGAGGCTTTAAAAAAGCCAGGATCCGAACTACGTTTAACCCGGTGGGTTTGTTTAAAAAAAGCGGATTAATGAGAAGATATATAATAAGAAATTGAACAAAATAACGTGGAGTACTGACTTTTGGCAATATAGGCTAAAAGTCATGATCACTCAAAATAATTTTGTGTGAAAATTAACGTTTAAGTGAAGCTCAACCTGCACGAACATGAGAATACAATAATATTGATAAGGATAACTTTGTATTTCACAGACTAACATGAGCAAACGGGAAAAAGGAATAATGACAAAGACCATATTCGTAAAATATGTGTAATGACCAACTCAAGACTTCTTAACTCTACCACCTGGCTTCCTAATTAGTAGAACACCAAGAAGTGGTGAACAGTGATTTCAATCTTTATCGTAAGTAAACTTAGCTTCTGCATGACAGATATTGAATGTTTCCAGTATGATCAACTTCCTGAAAGTGTGTTCTTTGATCTTACAGTACATTTATTAAGTCAGTAGCTTCAGGAATCATTTTTAGGAGAAAAACTCTGACTTCTTTACATAATATGTTTGGTCTCTCATTCAAAATAGTTCAATCCAGTAAAAGGGATTCAATGTGCATAATTCACTGATGTTGACATGTATTATTATTGTTCCCTTGGGTTCCTAGTGGAACATAGGGCTTCAACTGCACGCCTCCACTTGCTTCTGTCTTGTGCTGTACTTTTCACTTGCATCCATGTTAATCCATACTTTTTCAGTTCCTCATCACACGATCTCGTCCATGTCACCCTTGGACGTCCCACTCGCCGCTTCCCTTTTGGGTTCCACTCGAGCTATGGCCTGACGCGTGATGTCACCCAACGGCCTCCTCAGCGAGTGTCCAATCCATCTCCACTTTCTCCTGCATATTTTTGGGCGATTGGTTCTTGTTTCGTTTGTTCCCATAGTTTCTTGTTTGTGATTCTTTCCGGCCATCTAATCTTCAGTATAGAACGAAGACTGTTGTTGATAAAAATCTGCAACCTGTTGAAAATATTCTTGGTGACCCGCCAAGTTTCTGATCCGTATAGAAGAACTGACTGACTTGACGTTTGTATTGAAAATCCGTATTTTGTTGTTGATGGTGAGTGACGAAGATTTCCAGATTGGTTTCAGGTTGATGAATGTGTTTCTCACCTTCCCGATTCTCGATTTGACATACTCGTCCGTTCCTCCTGTAGTTGAGACAATGCTCCCTAGATAAGTGAATGAAGTAACCTCTTTCAAATCCCTCCCGTTGATGGTGATTGGCGCTGGATGTTGCTGTTGTTGTTGTTGGTTGGCTATTTGCATAACCTCCGTCTTGTCTATGTTCACCTGGAGTCCTGTCTTTGCTGCTTCTTCGACGAGTTTGTCGGTTTTCGCTTGTAAGTCTTCGATTTTGTGTGACATCAAACATAAATCATCCACGCGCGAAATCCAGGTCTTCTAGGTTCTTCACGTCGGTCCAGGATATCCCTGTCTTCTCGTTTCCCACTGTCTGACGCATAATCCAGTCCACTACAATTAGGAATATCATTGGTGATAATGAGCACCCTCGTCTGACTCCTGTGTTTACGCCGCACGCCTCGCTGAGTTCTCCGTTGTGGATGACTTGACATGTGCCGTTGTCGTACAGCTGTTGAATAAGGTTGATGAATATTTGGGATACGCAGTAGTACTCGAGTAGTTTCCAAATTACTTCTCGGTCAACGCTGTCGAAGGCCTTCTCAAAGTTTATAAAGTTGACGTAGAGATTTGATTGCCATTCCATGCTTTGTTCGATGATAATGCGTAGAGTTGCAATTTGGTCAGAACATGATTTGCCTTTCCTGAGTGTGGTAATCGTAAGGAATCAATAGAATCATTTTGTCGGTAGTGCGAAGTATCGGAATCTCGGATGCTCAATTTATCCTGTTTAAGACTCATTGGCTAGGTGCTCCTGCATCCACAGCAATTGAAACTCAAACCAGACATTCGTCGTTTAAGACATCAAAATGTTGTCGACTAGGCCAGGGTGCAAAGGGTAGTGATTAAACGAATAATAGAATATTGACAAATTGAATGTTAATTCAAAAGTTGAAGAAATTAAATCAGCAATGCAGGGTTTTAATGTCAAGAAGGCATATAGATACTAGATTGCTTGTTTTTACTAACTAGTAACAATTTTATTTTAAGTATTTTTTTCAATAAGGAGATAACCGTTCACATCAAGATAAATAGTTAAAGTGAATAAAAACGATGTCTGCTAAGAACACTGGATTCTTTTAAATAAACTTCAAGCTAATGAATTATCACATTTTTCTCATTTTGTAACAGATTGCTTAACGTGTTAACTAAAACTTTTTAATTTTATCGCTTTGCTCACCGAGGGCTTCATGCTTGAGCTTTGATGTTTCACTAGCTATGGTTTTTTTTTATGAAGTGGGGTTGCTAGTCTCATACTCAACTTTCGATTCTTACTGGGGTTGCTACCGGCTGAGTGAGGTTCAGGAGTGCATCGGCTTGAGACCGAATTGCATACCACCTAAGTGGTTGGAGAGTATTATAACATTGAACCATTGACTCAATTAACACGATATACAACAATTATCTTAAGCTGTTGTTGCGTTATTGGCACAGCGGTAGAATACTGGCCAATCACTCATGTGGTTCGGGGCTCGACCCCCGACTGACACACTCCTTTACCTCCCTAGGCCGATAATAAGACAGGTAAAGAAGGAAGACTGGGCATGAGGCTAGCAACCCCATCCCGTAAAAATAAAACACCACTGCTACGGAGACCTCAGAGCTCTAGCTTGAAGCCCTATGTACGACTGGAAACGTAAAGGAATAAAAAAACAATTATCTATAAGCAGGTGAAGAGATTTCACGAAAAACTGCCTCGTCCCAAATAAACTAACACCAGATTGAAAATAAAATTCATTCTTATCTTTCCTTTGACAAATAACATTGTACACATAATTCTGAAAAAATCTTCCATTGGATGTAGAACAGTTTGTGATATGCTTTACTGCTTTAAAGTACATCGAATAAATATTTACATAGCTCCGTTAATAATTAATACTGAATTACTGCAGTCAGTGAAGACTGATGGAAACTCTGCAATTCTCTTGTTACTAATACCATCCTGATTTAAAGACTGAATGTTTGTGATTCCCAGTACCAACTAAGTATATAAGTGGTCTACGTGAAGTAGTCCAATTCAAAAGACCAGAGCAGTTTTTTTATTTATTAGGTTCCTGCGTTGATTACAATGTATTTTGATGATTTTCATCGGAAAATTAAATCATTCTCTCAGTGAATAACTGTTACTCGGATATCTAATATCAAAATAAGACTACCATAATTTACGCCAAAGTGATACAAATAAATATGTTCTGATTTGTAGTAAGTTATTTGTGAATCCTGTAGTGAAACTTACCAATTATTGGATTTTAACATGACATTCGCAAAATACAAATAAAATTCCTTAATAAATTCATAATGCCATGAGTTTCCTTTTAACACAATATGATAATCCTTATCAACCTTAGTTCTATAGCCACTGGTTTACTCATTATGGTGCAAATATAATTTCTAAACACCATCAATTGATGGGTAATTAAACCTTACATTGAATCCCTTTAACAGTGTTGGCTGGATCATCAGACTTTAATCCGGCTTACACTCGTAAATAATCTCTGTGAAAAATAGTAGGCTTGAACACATTACTATGTCGAGTATTACTTATCTAGTAGTCAGTAATCACAAAATCAAAATAAACAGTTTTTTTACAGAATTTTGCTAGCTGATACAAATTCCTGATAAACACTGCCGTAAAATCAACAACAGATTTTAGTTGTTATTTTTTTCACTCTTTCATATTTTAGATGCTTTCTACCCAGGTAAGGCGCTTTCATCAGCCGAATTGCATATACCATTTGAAGACGATTTACCCTCTTCGCCAACTACTACTAGCAGCACTGTTGGTGTCCCCGCTCTCATCCGCAGTAGCAATTGTCGTTTTCGTATTGAAGCAGAACATATGCCTAAGACAGGTACAGAAGGAGGTGCTAATTTTTTAGATGATGTATCAGGTGAATTGATCTCACCTACCTATCCAGGCTTTCATCCTAATAATCTTATCTGTGCATATCAGTTAATTGGTCTTCCATATCAACGAATTCATTTGGACATACTGGATATAAATTTATACTCAGGTTCACCAGGGTAAGTGTGCCAGTTATCATTTACAATGTTGTGTTTATTCCCTTATGAAATTTCATTTGATTTTATTAACCACCTGAAACCCAGACAATAATGGTATTAGCGGTCATTAGTTTAGCTTTCCTGTTATGTCAATGAAATACCTACTCTTCTACGTACTGGTAATTTTTTTTAAATACTGGAGTGTTGAGTGACACCAGACAGAATGTTAAGTAGTCCAGATTGTCCGGCTTATTTTTTTCGCCTCTTCCATGTGTATATACCAATTTAACTGCTCCTGTGGAGCCAGTTACATAGGCCGTACAATTAGGCGTGTTTCTCGTCGAATTTCCGAACATCACCCTGCCTGGTTAAGCAAAATTCAAACAAAATCTATTCGCAGTGCTATTCTGGCGCATCTTGTGGAGACAGAACACAAGATGGACGTTAATCATGCTTTCAGGGTCATTTATCGCATACCTACGAATATCAGTTTCGCTTTAAGAGTTCGACTTCCAAATATTGCTGAGGCTGTGGGGATTCATACTAATAAGCCTAATTTATGCACCTAAAAGAAGTTAGTTCAGTCATTATCATTACCTTGGCCATCCAGGTTTAAATAATCCAGAATTTTTGGAAAATTTCCCTAATTTTAGTTGATATTCTATTCGCTGTTATATCTTTATTATTATTATAATTTAAACATCTTTAATGAACTGTAATAGCATTGATCATACTTTACAAATCGATATTATTTAAAAAAACGCTAATATTGTTATTAACTACTAATTTAAAATATTTGGTGTATATAAACAGATATAATTGTAGAGCCTGGAAGAGGAATTTATCGAAAAGAATATTCTTTGCTCGATTATTTTGTGTTTTATTATTTTTTTTTGAAAGTGAAATAGATGGCTGGGAGTACAAGATACGTTGTTATACTACTGCAATACACTTAGGATAAATATGTCTAGATCCAGCTAACTGATAATCCCATGTCTGAATGGTTTAGCAACAAATATTTTATACAGTCAGGAGAATTTGACTACCTAAACATGTATGAAAACATAGCAGTCGTTGTGTGTAATGGTGAATCATCCATTATTAAATCTCCACATTACTACAAATACCAAACAAAAGAGAATAAAAGTACAAATGATAAGAAATCGATCAATCCCTAAAAATAATTTTGGCATAAAACATACTGGTAACCAGTAAACAGCCAATATCGACGAGGCCATGAATAATGCTTTTTTTATGTTTTGGTTATTATATTAGAATGACACTTCTTCAAAATGAAATTTAAGTTGTTTTTTTCAAAAGTTACACTAAATCAATACAGCTGTGAAGTATCCATTATTATTTTATTTAGTACAGTTTTTCAGCATTAGTCCAGTGACTAGATGTTTGTAGATATGCTTATAGCCTGAACGTGATTTGCTGTGCAGAGGTGATATGAAAAAGTGTGTGGTACGTTTCCTAATAATATTTCATTCAGGAAACAAAAGAATCCAACTGACAGAATTCGAAGAGCAAATCTGTTTTAACAATCTATCGAGCATCGTTTCAACTACAGGCGGAACTGACGAGGATATCAAAACAAGAATCGGAAAAGCAAGACAAGCTTTCACAACTCTCAAGTATGTGTGGAGGTCAACAACTCTAAGCATCAAAAATAAGATCCGGATTTTCAACTCCAATGTGAAGTCAGTACTACTATACGGATCAGAGACTTGCACTGCGCGTCATAAAGAGCATCTCAAACAAACTACAGACCTTCATTAACAGTTGTCTTCGCTCAATACTCAAGATCAGATGGCCAGGAAAGATCAGCAACAGGGATCTTTGGGAACGAACCAACCAGGAACCGATTGTGAAACAAATAGGCAGGAGGAAATGGAGATGGATTGGCTGGCCATACTCTGAGGAAACCATCAAGTGACATCACTAGACAAGCCATTGCTCGAGTGGAACCCGAAAGGGAAGCGGCGAGTTGGTCGTCAGTGCGAAGGTTAATTGGAGGAGGTCATGTGAAGAGGAGATGAAAACGTGTGGGCAGACATGGAGCCAGGTGAAGACTCTAGCAGAGAACCGAACACAATGGAGACGCACGACTGAAGCCCTATGTTCCTCTAGGAATTAAAGGATACAATAATAATATAATAATAATAATCTGTCAAGCCCATTAGATGCATTGAATAGTGATCATCAAAGGTATCAACAAGAGTTTGTTTTAGCATACGTCATAAAAGAAAAGCATTCTTTTAAAAACACTGAAAAGTGATAATTTAACACATAGGACAAATGACCAGCCTTATTTAATGAGTTTATTTGTGCTAGGTGTCAAAAGACAAGTATATTAGCTCACTACCTAACAGACAAGAAAAAAATTCCCTTTTACAATAACTTTTGTGGCGATTTGTCTCATGAGAAACTAACTACATGTTCAGGTGGATTTAAAATTTGACTCTAGAAGAACGATCACGTACTCTTAATTTGCTTGGCTGCTGAGTAAAGCGAAAGGCTGGACTGTAAAACTGAACTACTGCAATTTTATGCCAAGTAGATGGCATGAAGATCATAAGATCAAGTACAGAGTTAAACTAGCTATTTTTCGATTTCATTTGTCGTACCCGCACAGTAATTCTAGTCTAACAACCCAAGATTTTTATTACATGGACTCTTTATTATTTTATTCCTTTACATTCTCAATAGTATATAGGGCTTCAACCTAGAGCTCTGAGGTCTCCGTATCAGTGGTGTTTTATTTTTACGGGGTGGGGTTGCTAGCCTCATGCCCAGTCTTCCTTCTTTACCTGTCTTATTGTCGGCCTAGGGAGGTAAAGGAGTGTGTCAGTCGGGGGTCGAGCCCCGAACCACATGAGTGATTGGCCAGTATTCTACCACTGAACCACCTACGCACATTACAGAGATTGTGGTTAATATTAACTATAAGTATGAGCTTAACTGTATGTGATTAGGAACACCTGTGATGAAGTCAGCTATAATTAATGTAAAACAATGACAAAATCTGAAGAAGAAGAAGAACTGTCTGTTTAGACTTTAGAAAACTGTTGATTTATTTAATTGAATAGCTACGTGTTTTGCTTTAAGGATCCTCTATTCTGTTGCCTACTTATTACTTTTACTGATGTTTAGGAAATCTTCAGGTGGGAACCAAGAATGCGGGCATCCTTCAATCTTCAAGTTTCAGTAGTTGTGTTATTCTTACTATTCTCACGCCCGAACTTTAATTTTCTGAGGTAAGTACAGGGTAGGCCGGGAATCAGATTAACAAGTCAGTAGAAGCTAGGATCAAAGGAAAAGTTTTACCATTTGTCGATAATGTGATCCATGTTACATTCATAATCTTAAGTTTACATTAAATGTCGTCGCTTAAAGTTTAATAAATGTCAGTGGATGATTCTCTAGTTAATCGGCTTGTTCACCGGAGGTAGAAGTATAAAAATGTCTTATATCGAAAATGATCTACCCCTTAAAAATATTATTTAGTCTTTCAACTCGTTTACCAATTAGTCCAAAAATGTTTATAAAGCAACAATAATTTAAGATAAATAAACGGCTGAGCAACCTTGTCCATTAACTGATCACTTCATCATTTCTTTACTTTTCTTGGCTGAATTTTCATTAATACCTAAAGTCCTGAAAAGAGAAAATCGATTTACCTGAATTTTAGACAGATTATTTCTGTTATTTAAAGGAAACCGCATACACCATTAATTTTTCTGTTTTCCTGAGTTTAAAAAGAGAAGAGACTGATAGAATAAGGTAATGTTGATAGTCTATTCAGAAGTGTTTTAGAATAATTATGTCCAAATTTTAATTGACTGTATGCTTAGCAGTCAAACAATCAGCCTTACACCGCTGGTCATCTACTCATATGTGAATGTTAGTGTCATCATTCTTTTCTTGAATGTACCAGTATATTTTGACAAACCCAGTAAAACGCCTACTGAAGATTTAATCCAGAAAAACTAAACGAAATCAATAAATCTAGCTTCTCCACCTTGAACGCTGGTTATTTCTGCTAGCAATGGACTGCATAAAGCTAGAATACTGGGTATGTGCCTGCTATTCAAGCACAGTGGTGTGACTGCTACAGTAGAAATCCTAAGTATTTGAAAGTTTAAGTCAAATATTTTAAACAGCCAGTCTGTAAAACGTCCAGTATCTTGCCAAGCAATTCATTCATCAATAGATAACGAATGAACTGGGAACTGGACACAGTAAGTCCAGTGCACCTTAATACTAAACAAGAAAATGGCTTCAGAGAAGAGAGGTGTTTCTTATTCATGAAGTCAGCAGCTGTAAGAATAAAATTTGAGCAGTGTAGTGGAGTACAGTTCTGTCACAGCATACCTTTATTTAAGAACACAATTTAAGCAAGCAACTACTTATTTTCGGTAAATTCTCATCAGGCTTTACAATTACATAATAAAGTACCAGTCATTTACATTTGAAACAGTGTGGATCAATAGAATCAAGTACAATCAAGGAGAATGTAAGAAGAATAATAGTGATAGTAATAAATTGTGAAACTAAGGTTAAAATATGCACCTATAGCACAGTATGATATTGACAATGTATTTAGCAGCACAAATAAAAATAATATTTATAATTATCCAGTGTTACCGGAGTGGACAACTATTCTAGGTTGTGGCTAAAGGCCTTGGGAGAGAGACGGATCACACAAACTTTTCCTGAACACAAAGTCTGGGCTGAAATTTTTTTATGAGAACTGCCTCAGCTATGCTTAGCAGTCGAAATCGTACAAGTTTAGGGAACGGAATTGTCATTTTGCATAGAATTTTCAAGGCTGCATTTTTATCAATCTTGTGACATGTATCCACAAGGTATGCCAACATGGAACTCCTGACTGACTCAATGACTTCTTTACTTAACCAGGTTGGATAATGATTAAGAACGCGACTGTGGCCTTCCCGAGTCCTTCTACCTGTGTAACTGTCTCCACAAATGCAGGTGGCTAGACTCGGTAGCTTATC